CTTTTGTTTACTTGTCTGATTTGATCAAAGTCTAATATGAATGTACAGCATGATTGTTTATAGATTACAACATGAGATGGAAGAGTAAACTAACTTCTGTATACTTGTCTGGTTTGATCAAAGTCTAATATGAATGTACAGCATGATTGTTTATAGATTACAACATGAGATGGAAGAGTAAACTAACTTCTGTATACTTGTCTGGTTTGATCAAAGTCTAATATGAATGTACAGCATGATTGTTTATAGATTACAACATGAGATGGAAGAGTAAACTAACTTCTGTATACTTGTCTGATTTGATCAAAGTCTAATATGAATGTACAACATGATGGTTTATAGATTAAAACATGAGATGGAAGAGTAAACTAACTTTGTTTATTTTTCTGATTTGATCAAAGTCTAATATGAATGTACAGCATGATGGTTTATGTTAAAAATGCAGCCATGCTGTTGATACTTCATGTTTTATTTCTATGTACCAGTTGCAAATCAATCAGTCCATCATTTTCTGCAATTCAACTCAACGAGTGGAACTCCTTGCTAAAAAGATAACAGAGCTTGGTTACTCTTGTTACTACATTCATGCAAAGATGTCTCAACAACATCGTAATAGAGTCTTCCATGATTTTCGTGCTGGTCTTTGCCGAAATTTGGTCTGTTCGGGTAAGAAATTGATGCTATTGATAAATAGAACTTTTTGATTATAAAATATTCTTATAGCAACTGTTATATTATTGTACTCAGTGGCAGTTATTTTCATTATTATATTATTGTACTCCATGTCAGTTATTTTCATTATTATATTATTGTACTCCATGTCAGTTATTTTCATTATTATATTATTGTACTCCATGTCTAGTTATTTTCATTCTTAAATTATTGTACTCCATTTCATTAATTTTCATTGTTAAGTTATTGTACTCCATTTCAGTAATTTTCATTGTTATTGTACTCCATGTCAGTAATTTTCATTGCTATATTATTGTACTCCATGTCAGTAATTTTCATTGTTATATTATTGTACTCCATGTCAGTAATTTTCATTCCCCTGTAGCAGTATTTCTACATAGTAAGTATGAAGAACAGGTATGCACTATCATTAACATTCTCTTCTTAGATTTCAATCGTTTTTTTGTTTTAGAATTAATATACTTCTGAATGATAGTAAAGTTAATTCAAAAATAATGGTAATTAATGTTAGAAATATATAATTTTGTGTTATTAATTCCTTAACATAAAAATATTATTTGTCAATGATTGAAATCAAAATTAATAATTACAGTTCACTTATTTAATCAAGTTCACACCATAACAGTTGTTGTTCATGAATACTGATGACATAAATAGTACCTAAACCCCTACTATCTTAGCCAGCCTGATGAGCTCTGGTATTTGGTGAATGGCCTTGTTAGTGCTGATATTGAATGAAATAATGTGTTTGATATATATATTTTACTCATAAATTATTGGAATTATATAACATTCCACTAACACTTGTAACACCTTGAAGGATTGGTTTTATAGGAGAATGGTTTTGAAGCTGTAAACTCTCTTAGTAGATGTGTTACTGGGGAAAAAAAACTATTCTGGTCATACTTTATATTCCATTAGACTAAAACTTGTAAGTGTAAGTCTGTGTGTTTGTAGTTATGTAACCAATATTTTATATTATTTAACAAATACTCTTAACCCTTTCGAGATGGGTCACAGGTGAAAGGCCATGTCATCTCATTTGTTGACTCGCATTTAAAATTTTATTGAACTACTATAATAAGTTTTGTATCAAACTGTAGATTATAATTCAAATTTTAGTACTATATATTACTCAATTTCTTAATTGAAAAGTAAATGTTTAAAAAGCACAGATAAACATTGATTTTTGTGTGTCACATGGTATGTTGAATGCAGCACTGGTTCAAATTAGGTGTTTGTGAAGTCAAAATACTAAGTCTATAGTTTCAT